CGACGTCAAAATCACACATCTAATTATTTATCAATTACATAAACATTACATCATTAATTATTTAATTAACCAAAAAAATTACATCTTTATTAATAACAAATTAATTCTTAAACAAAACTATTAAATATAAACTAGACAAACGTACATTGCACGTTGCTTGCACCTAGTATTCTAAAATGAGTTTACTTTTGACTTTTCTGCCTCTATTAGTCTATTAGCCTGCAATTGGGGGACTAGTTTTATGCTAGTAATTTATTGTCGCATTATTATTACTACTAGCACATAGTTGACTACATTTTATATATTATTATTTAATTATTTTCAGCATATTACTTGCGGGACACATGCTATACACTTAGTTTAAGTTACACCAACATAGTATTTACAGCAACACAGGCGGTGGACTGATTGCTTGCTAGGCATGAGGCGTAAAGCTCGAGTGGCATATTTACATGTGAACAATTCAAATTCGATTCTAATACTGATTTTCAATCGTATTTCAACTCAAACACTACATATTATAAATATACAAGCCATACAACGTCTCAAAGTATGTTGAGTTATTATTTCATTATAGAGATCACATTATTCAAGATTCAAAACACATTTCATTGATCTCTTGATTCAACCATACCGTCAATTGTTCATATATTCATTCAAAACATTATTCCAATATTGGTTGACCCCTTTATTTAGTCAAAAGAATAACATTTGAAGAACAAATCCATATTTCAGTATCTCTGGCCTCAATCAACATATCAAAGCACAAAAAAAAAAAAAAAAAAAAAAAAAAAATCTTTGATCAAACCCCAATACAAAAAATCCTACCTTCTCCAATAAGTCTTTAGAGTTATGAAGTTTGGGAAGAGGCATTTAGACTTCCAGCGTTGCAGAACGATGTTCATTCTTAGTAATCCAATGAAGAGAAAAAGTGATCCAAAGTTCTAGGAAGTGCGAGCCTGTACAACCAAATGAGTTCCTTGGTAATTTACAAGTTAGGTGGTTAGAGTCGGCTAAGGTTTTGCAGTGTTTGCACTAATTGTAAGTTAACGTTTCTAATGAATCGTTCACTTGCAAGTTTGCCTGGAGATTTTTGATCATACGAAAGGGATTTTCCTCCATCATCAATTCACAGTGTTCTTTATTTTATTTTTTATTGCTTTTGATTCGATTGTTTAAATTGATTGATCGACACATGGGTTTAATTGAATTAATAAAATTTAAGCATCTAAAGACATTAATAAGTGATTTGCTGCTTGTTATTGTTTTAATTTCACATTTGGGTATTGGGCTATTTTAACTTTCGAAAAGCAATTAAAAGAACGATATTCCATCCAACCGCTCAAGTTG